TTTAAATCTCTCCTAAGGCAGAACACAGCCTAGCAATCTGACATGTAAGGACCATGTAGTGGCATCATCTGTTACTGCCAACAATTTGTCAAAATCATGGCTCAAAGCATGAGCCTAAGCCCTAAACCTGCTGAAGACGGGTGATAAACAGAGAAAAACTTGGTATTTTGCTGTAGGAGTGCTGAGAAGCTTGCTGTTTTATATGATGCTTCTTGTATGTTGAATGGGCATTAGTGACAAGCCGTGACTTGTGGCACTGACTGTTGTAACCACTCGCCTGTTGATTGCAACGAATGAGTGTGTGAATACGTGCACAAATCCTCTCTTTCAGGGTACCTCTTGCACACCTATGGTGCGGACAGCTGCAGATAACGCTATCTGTGGTCTTGTGTGACTGAAATAGTCATTAATTAAAAAGGGGGCTAGAAAACAACCAACACTGATCAATGTCATGAAACAGAGTGCATGCTTCTTGTGCATGTGTCAGCTTGTATGCACGACGTGCCTACATTAGTGTGAATGTCACCACTTACTGTGACAAACAAGGTCTTGGACACATGGTGACCCGATGACAAGCAGACATGCACACGATACCCACAGATACCCACACATTCAGTGTTAAGAGTTAATGTTCATCTCTGTGGTTGTTTAATTTTCATTAGTCATTGATGACTTGTGGTTAAATATTTGACCTTGTTCTCAAAGGGAGATCTGTCTTTACTAGTTCTGGTTTAGGTCAAACAGTAAACAGTAGGTATGTGTGCCCTTGCTTTGCTCTTGCCCAGGATGCTCTATTTTAAGGTTCATTTCCTAATTACAGAGCTGTCTAGAGGTAATTACAACCTTAGATTAAGAGCCATTTCTCTCTCTCTCTCTCTTTTTTTTTTACGAGCCCACTGAAATGCAGCAATTTGTGGTGGCTTTCTGGGGCGAGCATCCTCCCTCTCATCCCCTCTCTCTTTCTCCATCTGTCTCTCCCTCAGCACTTCACTGGAGTCAGTTTAGGAATTTGGGGGATTTTTGTCTTTTTACAGATTTTCCAACAGTACTGTAGGTTTAAAAAGAGCACACTTTCATTTAACGTTAAATACTCTTTTTCATGCCATGTTTGTAAAGTGTCATCTGCTTTGGAAAACAGACAAACTGGCAAAATCAGGCTACAAAAAGCATACTGAGCATATTGGGCACAGAGGGCAGCAGTTATTTGGAGTTTGCTCTCAAGCTGGGGCACTCCAAAGCCCTCAGATCCCTTTGCATGTGTGTGTATATTTTTGCAAGGTTTTGAAGTGGTTCTTCTGAATGCATCATTTGACTGCATCGGCAAACTCTTCTCCAATTTAGCTTGGCAGGCGTACGGGCTGGGGTTTGCCTCCACATACCTCTGGGTCAGCATTGATGTGTGAGGCTGAGGTCTTTGAAGCCACGGGTTTTATTTAAGATGCCTCTGAGAGAGGGCAGCTCTGACTCCTGGTTGTCAACCGGGGTACAATCTGATGTGCAGCACCTGACTTTTAACCTTTTAATCCTTCTAATGCTTAGGATAGGATGCTTCAGGCACTGAGTAAAACTGTGCTTTGGCAGTATGTGGAAACCGCTGCTCTTGGCTAGTTTGGAGAAAAAAAAGTAGCAGGATTCATCACAAACTATCATGCTGTGTTAAAAAGTAAATATGCAGGCACAACAAGCTCCTGTAAAATGTCCAGAAGATCTTTTAGTCACGTCTCAACACAACAAATGAACAACCACAACTGTCTGTCATCGTCAGCAGCGGATTTAAGACATCAATGTTGGTTTTTTCCCAAGCTCCTTGGCACAGATGATGAAATGCCAGCCTTGATTTTGTAAAATAAATAACAGATAAAAGTACAGTTTGACACAATGATTGTAACTAGATTCTAGATGGGTAATGTGGTTTCGACATCACTGTCACGGTGGCGTAACAGCAGGCCTATGCTTGATTGTTTAAGGGTTTCTTCAGCTGAGTCTTGCTTCCGGTCCACAGACTGACATTTAAAGGCACTAAATGTTCCGAGGTCAGGGATAATCCGCTCACTGGCATTCCCAATTGCACATTGTTGTCATAGGTATATTACACAACTGCTATTACTTTTACAAGCTCTTGACTTTAATTGAAGAAGAACACAACCCTAAATCATTTATTCTTTCTCTCTATCTCCTTATTTTTCATACATTTATCACCTCAGACTTTTCAGTCCCTTTCTCAGCAGTTATGTCAGTGTCAACAAGTGAGTGTACAAAACTCAGCAGTCTGCTATGAAGAGAGTTAAACACTGGAGCATAAAGCAGCTCTAATGTCCAGCTCCACGTACAGATAATAATGCATGCACCCTTCTGCATCCTCGACAATGTCGAGCTGTGTTTCAGTCTGTGCAACATAGCAGCCTGAAAGCTCTCCACCTAGGTCAAGGATAATTGGCCTCCTGTGGCTACTCTGCTATGTATAGTAGCCTAATGTATACCAATTACAGCCATTATATAATGTCATGTACCTTCCTCAGTAGCATAATGACAGTCTGTAAGGAAACACATGGTGAGGAAACAAGCAGTACACCAGTGCAGAGGTTAACAGCAGGGCTACTGGAGTAGTTTAGGTTGCCTCATTGCCCCAGGAAAGCATCGGTAATTTTCCATGCCTGTTTGTGGGGACTGTGTAAAAGATGCTAATCTGCCTGAAAGCACTGTGGTCAGAAGATTTTACATGAATTAAGCATCTCTGATGAAGAGGGAGCTTCCAGGAGTTGTTTGCATAATAATCATTCAATTTAACTCTTATTTTGTTGTCTGCTTATGTCTTTAACAAAATGTGTATGATCATGTTTGTGGTCATCACCCCAGCTACTGAGTATAAACACTTACATAACTGTAAGTTTTAACCTTAAACTCCTTTGGGACTAAAGAGGTAACGAGGCTCCTTATTTAACGATCCCTCTCAGGGAATTGAAGTTTAATGTTATTATATTATTTGGAAAGAGAAGCTGGGGTTATCTGAGAAGAACAAGTGGACTGACAGTTCCTTGTATTTTTACTTTGTCAAACAAAGATTGGTCTAAGCGTGTTGAGTCATGTCACTATATTAGATGTTTATTGGTGGAGTAGGTCACTGAGATTTAATCTGTGAGCAATTTTACCTCATCTCTCTAAAGCGCACATGCTGAAGGAAACCAGTGAACCTCCAATTTCTCTGTGTACCTTTCTTCACATCACTGTTTCATTTGTCTATTTCTGCATTGTACTGCCTTCAGCTAACTAACAATTTATTGAGCTGATTGACTTTATATCTGGCGTTGGAATTTATCCACATTTCAACCATAGTATATTTTATTTTTGATATGATAAAGTTATGGGTCATTTTTAACAGTAGCAGCTGTCGATGGACATCAACCAATCATGTTTATGACTGAAACCTGGCTGGATTACAAAACTTAGACATATATATTTTTGTACATTCCTCAAGATGTTTATGTTCTAAGCTATCATGAAGCCACATCAGGTCAATTCATCACTGATAACCAGGCTTGGCATTGGCATCATTATTTTTCTTTCAGTGAGAAGCAATGATGCACTAAAAGGGCAAGAAAAGTGTCTTAAACTAGAAGTTAACAGAAGGATGCTGTGAACTACAGAAAGTCCGATACCATTTATTATTTGGGACACTATTACCCTCCTGTCTCCAGATTTTTTGCTGTCGAAATGTTGTCAAGACATTCTGATTTTGATCTCGTTGCTAAAACACTGAATGGAGTGGCTTTATGATGTGACCTCAGTGCCTATTGAAACTATTCCAAAGCTTGTGTCCTACCGAGCTTTATGTTGTTGGATGTTTGAGCCCAGAAACAGCTGCCCTCTGCGGTGAACACGGCTCGGAGTCGGTCAGACACTCGACTGGAGCCCTGCATGCTGCACGGCGTCCTGCGGTGCAACACCAGCCCGCCTCATTGCGGCTCCTAGCTCCGCGCACACGCTTGCGTTTTCCCAAAATACAAACGAGCTCTGTTTTATTGGCAGTATCTGAAGCACCCTGTGCGCAGCGTTGATGTCTGTGTGTACTTAACTCCTCACAACAAAGACCTGGGCTACAGGATCCTCGAGCATTTCACCGGGATGCTTTCACAATAACACGAAATGCGTATTGTATTGTTATAGTTCATAAAACCTATTCTATATTATTAACGTAAAGTTGATCAAAACAGAAACAGGTTGAACTGAAGGTTTCCCTTAAGGGAGCTGTCACACAAAACAAAAACGCATCTTAAGTGAGCAATAGCTTCCGTGGTGGGATATATTTTGAAAGGGGTATAAACCTTACGAAAAGTTTGGATTGTGTATTGGATAATGGATATAATTAATTACCGCAGTTGATCTATAAACGTGTCACCTAACCGTATTTGTCAATATAACCATCGTCTTTACACAGTCTTGGATCCAGGTTGGATATTAGAGCTCAAAACTATGAAATGTTTATCCTTATTCTGTGAGTCGAGGCAGGACACACTTACCCTGAACTCTGAAGAAGTGAAGTTAGGTGCGCAGTCGCTCTTCAGTTTTGATCCAAGCGGAGCAGTTCGCCGATATAACTCCAGACTTTGTAGTTTTCCGAGTGTGCGCGCTCTCAAAAAAAGTTTCTGTGAACGTGTTAAACTTGTAAGGAACAGTCTTCATCAGATCCCTTGGGGAGGTACACCAACCTCCATGTCAAGGAATGCGCTCAAGTGCTGACTCTCTGGACAAAAAGCGCTTTATTGGTGAGCACAGAGGAGAGTTTAAGCAGAGGGATGGGAGGGGCAAGGCCAGGCGAGGCGCACGGCGGTGGAGCGCACTCCTGTACAGACTGGAGAGGTGCACACAGCTCACCTTGCAGCTTGGCTCGGCTCATTGCTCAGCGAGAGAAATTCCAGCTTCCCTTTAGTTCAGCATTTCTTAATGCCTACCTGCACGACCTGTTTTAAGGAGGACCCATTACTGCTTTCATTATTTAGTACAGAGAAGTTGGCTACATTTCATTTGGATTCCTTAAATGCTTGGATTGCTTTGCTTTTTATGCATTTTACGCAGCTCCTCATGAAAATAAGCCAGTGGTTGGACATCAGCGTTATGTTTACGCACACATGGAACTTGGAAAAGGCAAATAGGCTGCATAAGCCAAATGACAGAAACTCAAACTGGCTGGTTATATATTAACCCTTTAAACTAAAGGGTAAAGTAAACATTACTGGTTAAATAAGGTTTAGGATAAATGAAAAACAAGATTTAAATTAAGTAGTTTTTTGTATTTGTGTCAATGTTTATTAATTCAGGAATTAAAGGCGAGAAATGAGTCATTGCCTGGGCAGTGCATGTACAGAACATTGTACATTAGCGCATATGGTTGCCTCTTTCACAGCCATCTTCAAGTTGAGAAATATTCAATATGTCCTCATGCCCGTTGGCAGCTGACAGCCTATTTCACTGCCAGCCAGTCCCAACATCACCGTGTACTTTTAGCCACATGATACTGAGTTTACCAGAAGCCTCTTGTGTATAGTGCGCTAATATTTGTGTTGAATAATGTTGGCTAGCTGGAAGAAGGAGCCAGAGGACAATGCTTGTCTTTTTCTCTTTTATTTTTCCTTCTGACAACCCACAGCAACACAGAACACAGGCACACACACACTGAACCCTGCCAAAAGCCCAAACCTTTTACATCTCACCCTGTGGGGCATTATGGGAGGCCCCACTCACAATCTCTCCTGACCCCCAATGCCACACAGCTCCCCCCCCCAGCCAACTGTTTCCAGTAGCCCAGAGAGCCATCACAAAGTCCTTCAGTTGTTGAGGGAGCCTGAGGCACTGCCCCGGGCCAGCTAGAATTGCAAGCTTCGTGGCTAGTGTGCGGTTGAACCTCTCCGCCAGTCTTTCACTTTGTGGACGCAGTGGTGTAGTTTGAGTTTTTCTGATTCCAACAGACCTCAGCAAACACCTCCGTCTCAAAGTTCTGCTCCTGGTCACCGTGCAGTTCCTCTGGCGCACAAAGTCAGCAGAACATTTCACTGACAAGGCAGTCTGCAGTGGTGGCGGAACTCTGGTCAGGAACCGTGTACGGGTCCGGCCACTTGGTGAAATAGTCCATAGCTCTGGTCACACTGGAGCTGCTGGGGATTGGCAGTGCTCCAGCCTTTGTCATCAGGGGGTGCTGGTTGGGTGACCTGGGAGTCCTCACTGTTGCTGGTGGTTTGCAGCACTGCTTCCTGGGGAATGGGGGCATCTCAGTCCTCCACTACCTGGCAATGCTGACATTCCTCCTCCTTACACGGGCATTGGGACAGGGCGCCTATGTTAAGTGGAGGACTTAAAGCCATAGTCCTTTAGGGTCTATATCCACCAGGTCAGCTGCCGTTTCAGCTCCCTTGAAGTTGAGCAGCCAGGTGAAGAAGGCATGGTCAGGATGGAGGTGGAACATCTGCCCATAGAGTTTGGGTCAGAAGTGGCAGATCCTCAAGATGACGTCCAGCAGCGGTTCCTTTCTGGTTGGCTCAGGGAGCAGCTGTAGTAGGCGATGACCTGTTCTCCATGCTTTCCCTCCAGCTTGGCGGATGGCTTGGAAAACATCTTTCAGTTCGGCCAGCATGTCCTTGAAGTCTGCAGCATGAGCAAGGTCATCCAGAAAGACCATGCTCTGGCTGCAAGGAATGCAGCCTCGGACCCTCTCCCTGAGCTGTTTACATTGCACCCCATGGGACATTATGGGAGGCCCCTCCAACAGTCTCTCCTGCCCCCCAGTGCCACAATATTGTATGTACAGAAGTGACCACAGAGCTTCTGTTTTCTCCACATTGACAAGAAATTGTAAATATAATTGAAACCAGGCCAAATTTCTCCTTGTGGTGACATCACTTGCTATAATGCTGAAGGCGTAGAGACCCCAGCAAACTGACCTCTCTGGCTCAGAAGCCATTGCATGTGTTTTCTGATACCACCCCCGCCTTCAGTGTCCTGAGCAAGGGACACATAATTTTGACTTATTGAGCCATGCTTACGTATTTTGTACAGTTTACTTTTTGATATCAGTCTCCACACAGTCTGTGGCTCCTGCTTGTTCTCCTCCAGCTCCTGCTGTAGGAGTTATTACCCATGTAACACACACACACAGTACCATCTGCAAGGCATTACAGTAAATTGCAGGAATAGAGCAATGATTTCAAGCATGTCCTGAAGGGTCCAGATGTTGCTTTCCAGTCACAGCCACAACAGATTTGGATAAGAAATAAATCAAATCTTACTCTCTTGTACTTTATCATATATGTATGAGGTTCATAAATCAGTGCTCATGCTCTTTCTGCTGTATGTCTGCTTTTCATCCCCATTCACACATCCATTTGCAGCTTGTGTGTGTTGGATAGTGAGGAACACTAGCATCTCTAGAACTCAGTCACACACACCTCCAGCTTTGCAACTATCTGTTATTTTTGTCTTGAATCATGTTTAAATAAAGTATCTATCAAATTTCTAAAAACAACGCATGCAGTATATTTTGACGTGACACACGGCCACTTTTTCCCTAAGATAATATGTCATAATGTTCTAATTTGTCCTGTGACACACTGATCATGTAGCTTAGAAGAAGATCAAAGTACAGAATAGTTGCTGCATGAGCTGAATGAACAAATATCAGGAGCTGTGAAAACAGCTGCATTAGAAGTTTAATCCCTTTATGTCCTCAAACATTATTTTATTACACAAGCATGCACAAACACTGGGAGCTGTTTTGGAAATCACATATCGCTTTTCCATTAGGACAGCTTGGGAATGATTGTCCTGCTCATTACACCCGAAAGCTCCCTCCGTCCTTCACAGGCTGAGATTAGAGTGTCCTTTGTTGGTGTTTAGTATATCTGCAAACGTATTAGCATCTGTGTTCTTGTGTGTCTGCAGTCTACAGCTACACGTCACACATAAATGTGACGGCACTATGTGTGGGCTGCCGTGATACACGACCCCTTCACAAGGCTCAGGTGGCCTTTCTTCCCAGTAGCTAGGAAAGATGTGAGTGGGAAGGAGTGTCACACAGAGGAGAAGGTGAAGTCAGGAACATACTGTACATGGTTAATTAGTGACTGCTAAGGCAACTGGAATGTGACAGAGAACTATGGCTAACAAAGTGAGGAGTAATGAGAAAGCAGAAGTTGTCACTGTTTTTTTGAGAGCAAGCACATAGTACTAGAATCAAATGTACTTTGTCAGATAAAAGGGAAATGCTGACTCTTCTCACCTACTATTGCTTGCCAGTGTTATAAATCAAGCTGTCTTATATAGAGGAACCTTCTTTATGTAACAAGTGCAAGTAACAAGTTAGAACAAGTGCAGATGTTATCTTGTTTATGCTGTTTGTGCCTGGTTAATCGGCCCTGAAGTGGCTCAAGGGGGAATGCACTGTATGTCCTGCAGTGAGCAGCATTTATTTATCTATCACATTATTTATTCATTACAAATCACAAAAGAAACGATTCCAAAAAGTGAACAAATCAATAGCAAACATTTTAAAACAAACAAACAATTCAGAATACCAGGCTGAAGCTGCAGCTTATTATGCCTACCCTTATTTTAATAATTCCTTTATCTGCCTAAATATATTTAACATAATTAATATACATTTTATAAAGAATAATTATTTTTTTTTTCTAATAATATAACTTTTTTAAAATAATTTTATACAGTATATAAAAGTCTGTTGACTCTGCACACACAGACACTTCTAAGTAAAGAGACAGAGACAGACAACACAGCTGGGTCTTGAATCCCTCTGAGCTGGCCAAGCCATGAATGCGCATTTCATTGTCAAAATGATGAAGAATCGTTTTGATGATGTTTTTTGAATGAAACAATCCAGGGTTTACCAGCTTATATTACTGGGCTGATTGAGAACATGTTTCTGTTTGCAACTGTATGATTTGTACTTGTCATAGTGATTTAGCCTGTGGAGTCTTAAACAGGACATGTGGGTGCTGTGTCAGCTTGTGGTATTGTACATTTGTGGAAAGAGCAGTCATAGCTGGTTATCTCTTTTCTCTTGAACTAAAAGTGAGGGATTGCTGCTTATTGCCGGGGCTCTGATAAGAGAGATAGAAGAGAGCGGTCAGAGAGGGCTAAAGGAGAAGAGGTGAGATCCAAAGGGAAGAGAGGGAGAAAAGCTTTAACCTGCTGAAGTAACTCAGCAAGGGGATCTTAAAAGAACCTGCAGCAGACATCAGTTGCTACAGTATTATGCGTGAAGTTGTCAAGATGTTTCTGCAAAGATGGACTAAGTTGCATGCTGAGGAGCCAACGCACAGGCCGTCCAATGCTCAGCAATGTGTGTCAAGCAATGGCTAATTCAGCTTTTGTCATGGGTTCAAAACAGAAAAGAAAAAGAACATATTAAATGCATCTTCAGAAGAGAAATCTAAAAGACAGTCAAATTATGCCTCTACCCAACCCTAGTGCATGTCTGCATACATGCAGCCCAGAGAAGTGCTGTATGATGGAGCCTCTACTCATAAGGAGAAGAAGCTACTTTTTGTCCACCCCCTTCCTTTGTTTCCTCCTCTCTGCTGTGTGTCCTCCTCCTTGATTCTCAGTCTTACTCTCACTCTGCAGTGGTGTATCAGGTATTGGGTAACAGCAGCATGCCTGTGGTTTCATTCAGGAAGTAGAGGGACTGCAGCTTAGATACAGTATGTTCACAATGACTGCACTGCTTTAT